AAAAAACATTTATAAAATGCTAAAATAAAAATCACACCATTGCGAAACAAAGCCTTACTTCGAGTAATCTTATTTCATACGGTGGTAAACATGCTTGTTAAATCTGAAAAACTGATGTAAAGAGCCAAGTCTATTATCCAGTCTGGAACATAACAGGGCTCTGATCCCAGAGTGCTTTGGGACCAGAGTTATGAACCTGGAGGGGAAATAGGACTGCACAAAGAAAACGCTGACAGACTGCCACTCCCTGAGGGCCTGCACAGTCGACACCACGACAAATGCTACACATCTACAGCCATTCTGATGCAAATATGTTGTGTTAGTGCTGTGAGTGTGTATGGGAGAAAGTGAAAGAGAAAAATAAATAGCACTACATGTACACAATACAGTGATGATATTGTGGAAAGCATGAATTCTCACAATAAACTTTTGTCTGAAGCTATGTTACCCGAAACCTTGATGCTGGAACCATACACATACTATAGCAAGAGCTACGACCTCAGAGTAGGGTATTACATAGGACAAATATATCGTGAGATATTGAAATTGCGATTATTAGCTGACAGCAAGGTTATATTTTCCTTTTAACTTTCAAAATGAAAATGAAATATACTCTGTTTATACCATACTCCAGAAATTCTTTAATTTGGTAAAGAAAGAAAATGTAAGAGAAAATATATTTTGAAGATTTTTTAAATCTTTTCCTTTTTTTAAATCATAATTTGTCTTCAGTCTCATTTTGTTTAAAATAACTGTGAGAAAACCAATACCATAACCCAGTATCGTGAATTGACTGCATCCCTTGTATTACAACGTGCAACAACAATCATGATTCAGATAAAACAATGCGCATGACAGAGAGATGGCTCATAACATTTTAACTTAATTTGGTCCTCATTGCATTGGGATTTTTTACTAAATTAGAAATAGCAAAAGATAAGTTTGATGCAGATTGTAGCCGTGCTGCAGTCACTCTAGAATATAGTGGACGACCTCACATTAGTTGGCCAGCGTGCCACTGCCAAATTTATATTCTGATGCTTCCTTTCTCAAACCTGTAAATGGGTATCCACCTTAACAGAGGCCATCTATCTCCCCTTTAGATTATGGCCAAGACCTTGAAAACTGTCATTTAACTGTCTGTAAGAAAAACACCCCAAGGTGAACAACTAAAGTGTCTGATGGGCTGCAACAAAGTGTGCGTGTCTATGTCTGTGTGCATGCATGTGTGTGCAGCAAGTGCATTGTCTTGGCTCATGCTTTTCAGAAAGTGTCTTTGAAAAGACGCAAAACAAGTATTGGCTCCAGTCATGTTGTGTATGCATTACACACGTGTGTGTAGCTTACATACAGTTCTGCCTCTAAAACTAACCCAGTGTGCATCAATTTAAATTAAGGTCACTTCTACAATGGTCTGGCACCTCATTATTTCACTATCAATCATTTGGCAGGGGAATGAGTCAGGGGAGGTCAGCAGTGAAGAATCCAGATGTTCAGCAGCTTTAAGCCTACATTTTAACCCAGGTGACTAGCTAATTGCCTAACCTGTTTAAAAATACAGACAGAGAGAGACAGAGAGAGACAGGGAGAGACGGAGCAGGAGAGTCAGAAAAATGATGATGAAAGATTATGATAACAGGAGGGACAAAAATGATGGATATGAATGATTGTAAATGTAAAGGAAAGGCAGGGAGGAGAGGTGGAAATAAAGTGATGCTAGGGGTAAACCCAGGGCATCCACTGGTCTTTAAAATGCCCTGAAAAAACTCTTTAATCATGTTGCACAGCTTTCTAATGACACTTTGTTTTGAACAGTAACATTTCAGACATACGTTTTACACCTTGTGAGACTTCATCAAGGGAAAGTTGTGAGTAATAACACCAGATCTAAAACTTGTATATTTTCATTCATTAAGTAGTAGAAGTAAGATGTCACTTTGTTCCTTTGAATTCTTGATCCAACGACCAGTTGGTTAGTTTGGTACAAATGCAAAAGAAATACTATAACATTAACACCTGACACATTAATAAATCAATATATATATCAAACATGTTAGTCAATTATTCTGTTTTATATATAATATATATAATTAGAGTTTAATTTTTCTATTAATTTGCTATGTTCATGCTGTACTGCTTTCAAATTCTAGTTGGCAATATAAACTTTGTAACAAGGGCCTCTGAAACTGCAACCACTGAAATGCAAAAAGGCAAGAAAAGGTCAGCACTGACAAGAAGTAAAGTATAAAATCAGTAATGATGAGGGGAAAAGAGGTGTCAAGGAGACAGGCAGGAGACGGAACAGAGACAGAAAATGGACAGTAAAGGAGACTGTGGGAATAAAAGTAATACGATCTATTCTGCATAAGCAGTTTCATCCCTCTTCATTTTGTGCTCTTTGCGTGTTGCTATGGAAGTAAAAGGGTTTCCATGTGCATGTACACACGCTAATTTATGGAGCTGTAATGATTAGTTGATTAATAAATGAATCTATTAGTTGCCAACTATCAGTCAGCAACTATTTTGATAATTGATTTATAATTTTTTAACTGAACATATGGGCGTTAATGCAACTATCCGACGAATGAAAAGTGCAGTTTAAGATTCTTCTTGTAGACAAACAATTTAGTTGACTATTAGTGGACAGCCCTATTGAATATCTTTGGTTTGTGGCCAAAAATGAGATTTTAGGATGTTATCTTGGGCTTTGGGACACATTGATCAACATTTTTCACAACAGTTTACATTTTATGGACCAAACAATTAATAATTTGAGAAAATGGTCAACATATTAATCAAAAATGAATCACCAACCAATGGACCCATCCATTAACACATCATTTCCAGCATCATGTGACAATCTACAGTGGCGAGCAGGGATCAGAGTGTATGGTGTTGTGTGTTAATGGTGTTTTGGATGGATGGATTCATATAGTAGAGATTTATAATCTATGGTCGGGGGCTCAGAGCCTGGATATTTAATCCTAATCCAGGAGCTACGACCTTCGCTATACTGCAACACTGAGTGCTTGGCTACCACACCAATACGTCCACACCATGTTGAACACAATCTGCCATACCTTGCAAATCTTTCTAGAACTAAAACTAAAGAAAGCTGTTATACATGTTAGTTCTGGGCATCCAGATATAGTTCCACAGTTCTAAACCTTTGAGGTAACTTGAAGGCAGCTCATCCTGTCCACTATTTAGTGTTGTCAGCGAGTGAACAGCAGCACTTACACCACCTTAACACAGAAATACTAAACAAGGGCATAAACAAGTCAATTTAACACAAAATTCATGATTAACCAGCTAAGAGTCTGGCAAAGTTGCTGAGCATGGAAAAAAATAAGGCATACCGTGAAAGAGACTACATGTAAGAGACAGAGGAAGACATCGGGAGAGATGAGGCGTTGCACTGAAGCCAAGCAGATGTTATTACAGCATCTGTGCCACACAACTTATCAGTCTCAGATCCTCCGAGTCAGGGTCAGGAAAATAAACTCATTGTAGGGTATATGTATTGTATTTTGGAGCACTTGAACGGGATGTTGAGTCTTTTATATTTGGTCATAACCAAAACAAAAATGTCCACTGCCTGAGGAATAAACATGCTCGGCTATCTGCAATTACAGATATGAATGTAATTTTACAAGACTGAGCATGTATGTGTAATTTTTTACACAGCTGCGTAGAGCCCAAGTTGACAGAAAAATCATGTTTCTATTTTAAGGAAACTAAATTGTCCTAGTTCGCCTCTTGTGGCTATTCCCTTGAGAGACTAAAGCTGCTTATCAATGGTACAGTGAATGTGAACATATTATGCCTACAAGCGGATAGCTGGTTCTTTAACCCCCATGCCCAAAGACTCATCTATCTCTAGCACTACTGTTTCCATTTCCATCATTTCCATTGATGCAAATTATTTAAAAGAAAGTTACCTTAAAAAACTTTACAAAGACTGAAACTTTCTCATCTTGTTGATTGATTTATGTGAATTGTTTTTAGGGAAAAAGAAGAAACCTACGATTCTGAGACTCTACATGCTAAATTACATGACTTGTCTTTTACAGTCTCTTCAACAACTTTGACAGTAGGAGGAGGTGGGAGGCTTCCTGTAGTGTGTAATCTCTCCTCTTTATCTCTCTTTGTTTCAGTCATTAAAGTCATTCCTCACCCCATACTTCCCCAACAGACAAGTCCTTACTGGATTGCTGTAGAGAAGACAGTGGAAGGCAGAAGGTTTAATGTCACACCTACACACTCACATACACACACACATGCCTTCATAGAGGGGTTAAAAGCATATCTTCAGCAAAGCCGCTGTGTCACAAACTGGTAAGTAAACAACCCAGATGTTACAGATAATGATGCTGATGGTGATGATGATGATGGGATGGGGCTTAGGAGAGAATTAGAGTCATGCATGCGCATATCATTGCACACGAATGAGCGAACATTAATGCACACACTCTTATCACACGCACACAAATGCACGCAGACGTGTGCTCAGTGTTTAAAAATAACTCTTAGCGTATTAAATCACTCTCTAACAAAAGTGCATGAGTGTATGTGGACCAAACTGTTGAGAAGTACCATTCAGGGTGCAGAAAGAGGTGGTGGGGGGGTAAATTCACGCCACTGTTATTCTATAGGACATTTGCTGACTCTACAAAACAAATTCGATTCAGTCCGGTGAGCAAAACACAGCAGCATAAATAAATAAAGGTATAAACACTGCCTTTAATTGGAAGAGTTTCCAATGCAAAACAATAAATTGCTTAATCTTAAAAAAAGGCTTCCTAAAAAGACCATACCAAATCGCATTAGTCTTTTCAGGAATAACAGAAAAGGGGCAATATGAACTCAAAAAAAATTGTTTTTCAGTCAAAACTAAATCCTCCATTTCTCAGTCACTTTCACCCAAACAGACGGAATTTTAAAACAAAAAAACTTAATTTAGCAAAAACCTAAAGAGCGACTTTCCCCCATAAACGTACCTTTGAAAAGCATGGCAGCACAAATATAATATCCAACCACCGAACATGGTCCCCAAAACTTGTGGCACCGCATCGTGGCACCGCTCAGTGGACTCCGCCGGGCCCCGGCAGCGCGCTCTCAGTGTCGGCTAGACAGCGAATGTGCTCCGGCGTGGCGGCGGTGTGAACATGAGGCTGGAGAGAGACGAAGAGGAGGCGGACAGGAGTGTGTGAGATAAAAAAGACTGACGGACCAGAATGAGTGTGTGAGTTCAGATTGGCGCGTTCACGCTGCTTCAGACACACACACACACAGACGGAGCTGCACGGGAACGCGCGTGAGAGCTGGAGTTAGTAAGAATTATGGCCGCGTGTAACTTCACAGGTAACCCATCATGACAGTAACTATAGTAAAGTTTACTAGAGGGTTTATTAATTTATTAAAACCTTGTCACGCCTATGTTTAATTTCCTCTTACCCTGTATACATGCTATATCCGAGCTGTGATATCCTGAAATCATCTGATGCATTCACCTGTCTACAAGTTGTGCTCACCTACATTTAAAAGGACCATGATGCAGCAGCGGCAGGGGCCTTTAAACGGAGTGTGTGTGACTTAGTTTAGGTGATCACACACTGTGTCTTTTATTGACTCTATGCATCATTTTAAACTAAGATTTATCAGCATTATTAGATGCTTATTATTACTTATTGTTGGCATGCTGCACCTGTGCCTCGAGTCCGTGACGTCACATATGAGGGTGTGGCCAGAAGAGCAACACGAAGCAGTGCAGAGGTTTTCTGCTTTATGCTATTAAAAGTTGATTTGCAATTTAACAATACTTGTAGTAATAATACTAGTATTCTAAAGCCACTGGGAAGTTTTCTGCTTTAATCATTATTTTTTATAAAATCAATGACTCAACTCTGTACTATGACTCTGCAGTTCCCTCAACTTTTTATTGTCTTTAAGCTCATTATTTTGCTTCAATTTGCCGCAACAGGCAACTGTTTTCTACTCAGAATCTCTGTTAAACAAACTGCGTACTACCCGCCCAGCACCAAACAGCAGACAGTTTAGTGAGCAGCTGTGAACGTAGTGGAGCGTTTAAAGGAAAACAGATCAAAAGGAAATTGGACTTACATTCATCATGTAGACAGACACACAATTCCAAATGAATGCTAATGTTGCTTTGTCTGCTGGATGTGTAAATAAGCAGTAGTTTGTTAACACACTCACCGTATCAACTTTATTAATTGATTCCACTGTATGTCAATGTTGTGCGTACAGCCCCCAGGTGGCCTTAAAATCTATGGAAGACAAGAAAATAGATTCATAGCTACAAACAACAACTCATCTCACAGTTTTTCTGGCCTGAATGTCTGTACCCAACCACTCTTCTCCCACAGCTGTAGACCCTCATTTATGAATGTCATGGGTGTCATGCTGCAATTTCCCACTTTCCGATGTCACAAAAAGGGTCATCAACCGCATTTTTGTTGTATTTTTCACCTTTTTGTGCCAGCCTGGCTCATAATCAAATGACCTATTTATTTCAGTCGGAAATAGAATCCGACAGGCGATGAGGGGGAACACTGCACATTTCTGCAAATGTTCTCACCGCCTGGCACCCTTTCTCTCCATCTCTTCCTCTCAGTGAAACAGGGACATATCATCGGCAGTAAGAAGCAGTCCGGTGCCCGTGGTATCAGACCAATTCTTGCTATTTTTCATACCCCACATGTCTGGAGTTTTCATCAGAGAAGATTAATGCTGTTAGATGTGATTTGGAACAGAATCCTATATCCATCTTTGCTGTAGGTGGGCTGACAGCATCTTTGGGCTCAGTAAAACCTCTGATCACAACCTTCCTCCTTTTACTGGTACTCACTGGGCAAACATCTAGTTGGTGAGGAGGCAGTGATGTTAAACTAATCCTCATTTTACCAAGGAATCTATACTGAGGCAACTGTGAAATAAAAGCTAAATGAGTTTTGTTAAAACTACCAATAACTTTACTGAAGTTTAATGAAGAGCTGTCCATAGTGCTCGATCACCAGCAGCCGCATCAAAGTTATCAAACAAGAAAATAACATCTAAAAAAAATCGCATTTTTTGTCTTTTCCATTTGCATGACATACCCACTGCAGGGCATGCAAAAATACCGCTTGGAGAAGTTTTAAACTGACAGAAATCAAACATCAGAACATGACAGAAGTCAGCTTATTGTGTGTTAAACATGAAGCGAAGCTTATAATAAACTTTGATCAAGCTGATCTTGCAGCTCGTGGTTAGAAGTGTCTGATTTTGCCATGTATGACAAAATGACAGGTATAACAAGACAACAATAACAAATCATTTTCAAAACTGATAAAAGGCTTTGAACCACAAACATATGACACAATGACGTGTAAAGAACTGCTGACATTGTCTGAATATGGATCACATTTTTAGGTTTCTTGCATTACATTATAACTCCCATATGATGTACATCTGGATATGCACACAGTATGCACTATTCTATACTATTCTTTTTCTGTTTGTGTTTATGTAGGCGGTCTGGGTATCTGCTTCACCATAAATATGTATTTTTTCCCTGTGTGTTGCCTCCTCCTGTTCTCATAACATCATTTTGCCCCTCAGAGTGTAACCACTTACCATCACATGCTGTTAAAAAACTAGAGAAAATAAACTCACCAGTGCAGAATCCGGCCACCAACAAACTGTTAAACGCTGAGACTCTGCTCTAGTCTCCTTCAGAAAAACATCAAATAGAAACAGAGACTGACTTAAATCTGAGCCCTCAATTATTTTTACCACATGTTTGACAATTATCAGGTAAAACAACAAAGAAAGAACACTTCTTAAAGGCACCACAGAAATATCCTCATCATCATCAAACAGAAGTCCTGAGCTTCCCAGATTTTAAACTAAAATCTGTCCATCCCTCTCAGAATTAGGATGGGGAATGTGCATCATATTATGTCATTTATAAATGCACTGATAGGAGGTGGACAATAGCAGAGAGGAAAGACAGAAAAGAGTGCAAAGTCCTGAGGGAGCTGATAATTCCCTATCTTTTATAAATGAGAAGTGTTCTGCTTATGGAGTTAAATGTTGCGGAGCTACCGTGGCTTCTTACCTCTCTGTTCTTTTTTTCCTCTACATCCCTGTTGTCTTCTTCTACTACTTAAATGAAACCCAGCGAACATGTAATAGTTGACAACAGGGACCGTGCTTTGCTCCTATGTGGATGAACTCCACCACAAACAAAAAGCTGAAAGAGTCAGCAGTGACAGTGACAGATGTCTTCTCAATCAGGACTCAAAAATGACAAAATTCTATTATATTATATTTTGTCAAACATCCTCCTCAAAACCTTTTCCCTGTTTTTAAATTAAATATTTGAAATATTCGCCTGTCACAGCAGGGTACATATGTGTGTGTCTGTATGTGTGATAGAATGGGGTCAGATGAGTTTTAGTTTTGTCTGAGTCTCTACCTTTGATGTGTGGAAGATGCAAAGCTTTTGCTGTGATAGAGAGCACAAGGGTCCCAGAGCTACCCAAAGTGTGTGTGTGTAAATGTGCATGCATTTATGAATCTGTGTGTCTGCAATTGTGCATTCATACTTGTCATCTGGGATCTTTTTGGAAATATGTGCACGTAGGTTTTAGCCAATTGTTTTTTTTAAGAATAAAAGCAACATTTAATGTGAGGCTTCTTCTTCTTCTGCACTAAAATTTATGGTGTTTTTAGGTGTGTGTGTGAGTATCCGCCCACATGATGAAGTGCATCTTGCTCCTCTGTTGCCCTGCTGCCATTTATCTTTGTTACACTGTACAGGTGGCGACACAGTCTATCAAGGGATGTCAAAGAAAGGTCAGACCTCTCACACACACTTAGGAGTTTATTGTGGAAAAGGTCAGCAGTGCACACGAGGGTGAAGGAGAGACACAGACAGTCTGGAAAACACAAACAAAACACAAAATAGAGTTGTGCATTGTGTGGGTGGACAATGGAGGTAATGCAACTACATGCAGAGAAATATGGTCACATTTATATACGCATACTTAAAGATGCTTAGGTTCATAAGTAGAAGAGTTTAAATTATAAATGCTTTTTGTTCTGTTGGACTTTAAGTTATTGTCTCTGTCTGTATCCTCACTTCAGCTTTTAGGTGGTCATCTTCATGTGGCTGCATAAATATTACATCACACAAAGAAATTCACAGGAAACCTCCTGCTCATACTTTAAAGGATGTAAGCTTTAATAGAGCACCTTGAAAAGTAGAAACCCAAATTAACACTCTTGGGACCTGCTTTGAAATTTTCTGAGGTCTTAGCAAGCCTTACGCGATTCAAAAAACAGTTTTAAATTCCCTTCCTTTGGGTAATATGATCTGCTTTAGTTAGAGCGCATGACATTAGGACACATTTTAATTGTTATCTTTCGTTTTTGTCACTTTTGTTTCTGATTTTATGGCCACAATTCACTGCACCATACTGCTCACACAGCTATTAATGTCTACTTTTGAACAGGTGTGCTACTTTCAACTGATTTTTTTAATACATTAACAGCTTCCAATACATTCTTTATAATAAAACCCCCTTTTTCCCTATTTATGTTTCACATTGGTCAAATGCCTGAAGCAGAAACCGTGGACTATTGAACAGCCAAAAGTGTGGTTAGGACCCCACCCAGTGGAAGAAATGTGGATGTACAGAAAATTATTGTATATTATTAACACACATAGTTCTTCAATGACCAAAAAACAAGCCATGCAACCAAAATTGTGTATAATTATTACGTTATTTAGGTGCAGCTTGTGTCTGTGTCTAAACAGTAAAACAAGAAGAATTCACCAATGTGGTGTCTGTGAGTTAGACCAAAATGTGAGAAGGTTTCACCACAACACAGTAATATCTGTATGTTGGGAATGCTGTTGTGAAAATTGCTTATATAATAGTAAATTTTTATTTTAAAACCATACATATATTAAAATAATTTATAGCAAACCAAATCTGGCTAATTTATTTCAGACAAGTCTGACTGATTTGAGTTGTTAATGATACACCATATTGACTTAAGCTGATACTGAGAATTGTGTTTGCTCAAATCAAGAGCTGTGCAATGTACTTTTTTACCAACAGACCATTAGTCCACACAGGGTCGTCTTTATGTTGAATCTAAGAGCTTGACTTGTTCCCCAGGAGGAAGCATCAGTGTGTGTGTGTTTGTTTGGATGGTCTGTCAGAGCTCTGGCGCCCAGATCACTGGTTGCCTTGAGTGGCCGGCCTGATGCTTGACTCCATTCATTCCTCTCCTGGTAAAAAGTCGGTGAAAGAAACTCTTGTTCAGTTTCGCGTTCAGGCGAGAGATTCTGACCTCTGAAGACACTCAGACATTCAGCTGATCAACAGCTCACACTGCAGGTAAATCTCACATTTCTGAAACTCTTTATCTAAATCGCCTATTTATTGAACTAAGATTTACCCAAGTGATGAAAGGAAGCAGTTGGTCACTATTTTTTTAAATCATTCGATGCATGTGTGTGTCTTTCTGTTCTGTTTATTTTTAACAACTTTTCTTGTTAGAATGTAAAACTTACATTATTTGTTCAACTTTTATAGACATGAGGTTTGTGATCCTGTTTGCCCTTTTGAGTGGTAAGTCAGACGATTTCATGAATGACTACACGGTGTTGAATCTTACTTGTGTTTAATGTGTTGATGTTTCACATTTAGGGCGATGATAATCGACCTAAGTACTCAGACTAAGCAAGTCTAAATAAATCTAAATCCAAATGTATTTTAACTTAAACACACTTGGATTTAGCTTACATTCATATTATTTGCAAGAAATATTAAGCATATTCTAAATAACACTTTTTTCAGAGAAAATTTTTTCATTATTTGTAATGTGTTATTCCTGATGCCTGAAAGTGTTAAAATCCAGTTCTCTGTCTTTATCTGTTCAGGGGTTTTTGCTGCCCCATTTGTGAAGGAAGAGGAGGCAAAGAGATTCATCAGGCTGAAGAGACAGTCTGGATACTGGGATCCACACCACTCTCAGAACCAGTGGGGTTACACCATTCAGGAACAGGTAACATTGCGCTGTGTGGTGTGACTACATAGAATAAGTCAGTCTCAATGATTCATATCCAGTGAAAGCAAAAGCCAAGACTTTTTCAGCTAGTTAAGAAGCATTTCTATATCAAAGTGTCTTTCTTCCTCAGGCAAACGAGTACTGGACAGCAATACGAGCAGATGCTCAGTACTACATGGACATGAGTAACCTGATGTTTGACCGCTCTGTGGCTACGTGAGTGAGATAATTAGCAGCAAATCATGTGCCAGTTGTTGGACATTTTCATCCAATGTGCCTTACAGTACCATGACTTTATAATATAATGCCAGTGAAGCCATTTTTATTTCTTCTTTCTTCTTCTTCTTCTCACAGTCTACCCTGACATGAGGTAATATCCAGGAAGTATCAAGTTCACGACTTAGAAACTGATCTTTTTTAAACAGATTTGCTGAAGTCTGTTTGATTAGTTACCGGTTACCTCTTGTTGCCATTTGAAGGAGCTTAATATGACCAAACTGAGCAGTTGTCCCTGAGTGTATAACTCGTTTTTAATATACTGTTCAAATAATATCATCACATTTTCTTAAAATGTTCATTCTTTGTCCGTATTTTTTCCCTATTTGTTATGTTGCAGGGAAAACAACAGGCTGTATATGGAGATGCTGCGTAATGCACGAGCTCATCTGGACAGCCAGACGGGAGGACACAGATAAAAAACAAATAATACAGTTAAAGCCTAAACTTTTACCCTCATGTGATGTACAGGATGACCATATTTTTCATCCATTAGCTACTTTTATGAAGGAATGTATTAGCTTTGCCTTTTAATACTTAAGTATTATATAGTAGAGTTGAAAACAGTTGCAGTCAAAAGGGTGGACAAGATTATTATACTTGTCAGGATCTTTGTAAACAAACAACAATCCACATTAAGGCTATACTTCTGTTGTACATTGTAATAATAATACAGACATTTAACTTGAGCTTTACTAATATCTTTATTATGAGACACAATCTATCAAGACAAGTGAGTAAAACAGTTTTTGGATGAAAAATTATGTTGACAACATTGTATTGACAGCGAGGCCTCAATAATGTATGAAATGTGTTTTTGCCAGTTAAAATGGAAAAAGACAATATGGTTTTGGTTTAGTTACAGATTTACAGATATATATATATATATATGATTTGATATATTCATATGAAAAATTTGTGAATTACAGTTGTTTTTATGTGTGTACGACCTATTTTAAAACAATTATGCCTGCAGTCAAGGATTTTATTCAATAAAAGTTCGAAGCAAAG